ACTCAGCCTCTAACAGAAATTAGTACAGGAATTAATTAAATAATTTTCCTGGGGAGTAAAGCGCGGCCGGCGCGTAAGGCTGACAATCTCACCGCCATCTTTAAGCCTATTATCTAGATAATGTGGGACCCTCAACGTCTCACAACCCTATGAGCCTTCACGGCCTGGTACAGGGATAGCGTTACTTTTTCTTACTATATATAAGAAAGCTATTCGGAAATTAACCTCCGCTGAGCTGTTAACAGAACAAGCAATAAGAAAATATTATTAGATATAAAATACGTACACCATTAAGCTACTTCTCAACTTTGCCAGCACCACAATTGAGGCACTTGTGTCGGAGAATTAAGTTTTTGTATGCCTGTGTCAAGTCTGCCGTCCATGAGCTCAGCCACATTTTGTCACCTTCCATCAACTTCTCATTACTGTTGGAAAACTGTGATCTCAACCAATTCTTCAGGTAGATAAACAGGTGACCGTCACTCAGAGCGATATCAGGTTTGTAAGGAGGGTGGTCAAACAAGTCCCAGTTGAAATCCTCCAGCAGTGTTCGTGTGCGAGTACAAAAACTGAGAACACAAATGGAAAATTTATTGATATGAGTACTGCCGGTGAAAATAAATAAAAATTACTATAGAGGCTTTATTTAAAAGTATAAAAAAGCAATATATCGATAGAAGACTCAGATGTTGTACTTATTCTTGAACGCAATAATGCGGGTTTGAAGAAAATGTCAGGTTTTGTCCGAACAGACATCTGGCTCATCTGCCTTCCTAAATGCCATGCACTTTTTAAAGTATGTAATCGAATGTGAACAGAATTTTTCATTTTTCATATTTCGATACGTATTATCAATAACCCGATCAGCGAGGTGTTACTGCAATTATGTATGTATTTTATGACTTACGGTTGCTGTCGTTTAAGGGAAAGAGAACAACCGCAAGAATTATTAGTAATTAAATTAGCTATCGTTTTACATGTTAAGAATGTGTATGTCTTATATAGCATTTTATTTAAAACAACTGGCATTCATCGTAGCCTCGGCACGGACTGCATAGAAAACACTGCTTCCTGCGCTTTCTCTGATGTTGCGTACATATCCGTTGCCGCAGGTGTGTTTACCGGACCGTTGCCTAGCGATGGCCGATTCTTCTAGCTCCTCTGTTCCTCTTTTCAGACTTCATGTCAGAATGTTGTCATCAACATCGTCTATTTCGTCGCCTGGTTGCGTTCAACAGAAAGCTGCAACCAGAGCTGGTTTCTCTTGCCTCTACATGGACAAGCCGGTTACAATGGAAACGAAGCTACTGTTACTCCTAGAACTGTCCTGTTGTCTTTCTGCATAGCACAAACGTCGGAGAAGTTGCCGACCGATCACGGCGAAGTAAGCTTTTGTCAATAGGAAACCATTAATAGCCTACTACAACCCCTTATTCCGAAATTCTTGTAGCTTTTCCGAGATGAAAATATTTTTTATCACGACATCTGTAGTAAGACATATAAGCAAAGCGGCCTCCGTAGTCTAGAGGTAACGTTCCCACCTCATGACTCGTAGTACGCGGGTTCAAATACCCAGCGGAGGTCGTCGAATTTTTAAGGGCGGAAAAATTCAGGGAACAAGTCCTCCGGGAGGGACTTTAAGCCGTGGGTCCCGTGTCGTAGCTTTACGGCACGTAAAAGAACCTCATATCTCCAAAGGAGGTCACTGAGCCAAATTACGGACGTTTCCCGCCCAACAGCAGTCTCTTAATACCTCTGGTAGATGGGGGAGGCATTATAGATACCTCTCAGCTAGTAGAGCCGGTCTCGCTGGCTGGGTGGGACTGATGGTAAGCACCAGTACCGGTAGGATATAGAGACTGGTAGAAATCATAGAGGGAAGCACAATGGACCAATACAGGTCTAAGTGCATGGGGAAACCCACCCTCTCCAATAACTAATCAAGACATATAAAAAGGGATTTAAGTCCTCACACCTGTCATTATGAAGGCTTTCATCTTCTGGGATAAAACGCTATGTTGTCGTTAATTATTAATCGACATATCGGAAGAACATATAGCTTCCATCTTCAGGATATAAGAATAAGCAATGCAAGAACAGGACTCTACTTGCTACCTGCTTCACACTTGATTCTTATTCTTCGGCCCTGAGGATGAACAGCGATATGTTTCCCAGAAACTTCGTTTGATTTTCAACGGTCCACAAGGGGGTTATATGACAGATAATATTATGCTTCATAATCTGTATAAATTTGTCCTTTCATCACTTTAAAGTTAAGTGGTTGCTATATATATACCGCCTACTTTAACGAAATAAAGCCCTACACTCTGCCCACAGGCTGTATATTGTGTTTCGTGTAGTTCTCACAGTAAAGAGCGACTGTTTCCCTAAACAGCATTAACAGGCTGATTTCTGCAGCGAAGACGTTATATGTGTTTCCTGTGAGGTACGAACTGTATTCTTATATACTATTTAGAAGAAGTTCAACATTTAGAGGGTTAATATCAGTTCATATTATACAACACAAAATCATCCACCTTAGGCTTCCCAAGCGTTCTCTTTAATTTTGGTTTTCCATTTTATTTCTGCTTGCTTTTCTTATGTTTCATGTATGCTGCATGGCTCGCCTATACTATCCTCAGTGATTTCGTCATCTTAATAATATTTGATCAAGAGTACAAATTATTCATCTGGTCATAATTTCACTTCCGACGTCTTAGGTCCAGATTTTCCGTTTCGTATCTTGTTTTCTCTAGCGAAATAAAAAGACATCAAGTAGCTTTTACACACAAGAAGAGAGAATTCATAACTGAAGAGTAATAAGAAATAGTATCTATAGGCATTTTCCGAGTTTCACCAGTTTCTTTGTCTTTTATTTCAGCATTTCTTTATTGAGAAGATATACAATAAAACTTAATGTCGGCGATTCTGTGTTTCCTTCGATACAGTTTCTATTTTCAGCCTTTAAAGAGTGAGTCAGAGTCAGGGCTATTTTACGACTGGCGATTTACAGCCAATCAGTTCATCTTAGCGACAAGCCCTTTGAGACTCATGACCAATATTTTCTCAACTGAACACTTGCGGTTATAGTCCTTAGGAAACATCCTCTCTGACGAGAGAATGGGTCTGTCGTTTACAATTACTGCTGGCTCTTGCCAGCCCTAATTTTCGGGTGATAGTTCCGCGGGGCTTAGGATCATAGTTTACTCTCTCAGATTCGAGACTCTACCAACCTGGAGGGTCAGTCCCCACATTTATATCACCTAGGAACAGGGTAGCCCAGTTATACCCCCAGGCACTGGGTTCCATTTTCGTCGCCTCCTTACACTCTCAGGGCTATGGTGGAGGTATTCGAACCCACCTCCACACGGGGTTAAATAGTGATTTTTTTCTGAAGAATACATACAACTTTAGTTCGTACCTCACAGGAAACACATTATGCCTCCGCTGCAAAGACCAACCGGTACATGTTGTTTAGGGAAACAGTCGCTATTTATTGTGAGAGCTACACGAACACATAAACATATTTTGTGGGTAGAATGTAGAGTTTTAGGATATTAAAACAGGTGTATATATAGTAACGACTGGAGGTTAAAAGGTTAATCTCTTCGTGAGCATCCATACATAGGATCTGGTTGGAGGGTGAATATGGCTACTGCAGTGTCACACAATAAACACGAGGTATATTAAAGTGTCATGATAATGTTGTGAGAACAGAAATTGTGGAATGCAGAACATTGCAGAACAAAACACTTACCGCTGGAACGCACGCAGAAGATTAGGTGAACAGAGATAATAAACTTGAGGGGCTTGTAGCGAATATCAACACTGTACAATGCCTTATTACGTAACATTTTATTTTATCTTGGCAGAGAGAACGTAAGTTCTTCTATTCTTTGCTTTGACACTGTGTAGTCTTTCCTGTCTGTAGCTAACAGAGTTTCATCTACCCTGAAGATGGAAGTAAGAATTCCCTTTGAAATGTTGGTAATCATAAGATTACACGGTACCAAAATCAAGATAACCACAACCTAAAACTTAACTCATTTCTGATGTTGATCCTGCTCTTCTAAATTTGCACCCTGCAGAAATGGACAGTTTCACTGACGTTTCGGAGATACATGCTGTCTCCATCTTTTCAACCCTGTCTGTGGATGATGCATGGCCAGCATTAGGAGTGAACAGACATTGGGGTCAGTAATAATATAACTTACTATTAAACACATTTTATCTGTTTCGCTCAAAATGTAGTCTGAAAATGAAGGTGAAATATTTCATGCTCATATTCACGAAACTAGAGCCCGGGATACCGCAGTTGGTATAGCGACTGGCTACGGGCTGGACTGTCGAGAGGTCGGAGTTTGAGTCACAGTAGGGTCAAGAATTTTGTTCACTACGTCCAGACTCACTCTGGAGCCCACCCAGTTCTAGCCAATGGGTACCGGTGGCTCTTTCCCTGAGGGCAAAGCGCCCAGGGCGTGAAACTGACCACTCTCCTCTAATTAGTGTTGAGCTCAAGAAAACGTGGATCTATACAGCCACTCCCCTAACGTCTTCATGGTGTAGTGCTTAATTAGTTAAGCACAGAGACAACTTTACTTCTAGCATTTCCTTATTCATGAAACTAGCCCACCAAAACTGTATCTATAACAGCAGCCCGTGAGGATAATTGAGGAGCTATTTCAAGGAAATAGCGGCTCCGGTTTAGAAAACCGAAATTCGTTCCGCTGACCACGCGACACACTCTATCCGCTAAAGTTGGCGTGTTACATATATTATGGGTAGAAATCCTCTTCCAGATAAATTTATGGCAGGAAATGTTCGAATTGATAATATTCCGCAATTGTCAATCACTGACGGGAAAAGAATTTGAATATTTCAGATTTTACAATCGTAATTGATTTAACAGTTACAGGTGAGCACAATTGTACTTTACCTCTATCAGAATTAGGAGATATTTCTCAGTGACTGCGAATTGCTGTGTGAATTAATCTGCGCCTTTGATACTTGAGCGTCGCTGCTCCTCCCATTCCGCATGGATCGCCGTGTGGCACGTACAGATGTTTTGTGAACAATTGAAGTCGATTGACGCGAGATTGGCATCAGTCTTCATTAAAATTTCTCTTTTCCATTCCAGTCTTTAATTTACATTGATCAATCACAGAAAATTAACTCTTTAAAGACTGGGTGAAAGGGGGTGAGAGAGAGAGAGAGTGGGGTTGGATATAGTCAGAGAAACTACATGTAAGGGGGGGGGGGAAATAAGCATATTTTCTTTTTCGGTCATGAATGTTCCCAGGCAGTGCACGCTAGTCCTCCTGGTTAGTTTGAGATAAGGCTGATTTTCTTCTAAATAACTCTGTAAAAATTTAGTTTCGTACCTCACAGGAAACACGTCTCCGCTACAAAAAGCGACCGGTTAACACTGTTCAGGAAACAGTTGCTCTTTATTATGAGAGCCTTATGAAGCACACCAGTACACCCTATGGGCAGAACGCAGAGTTCCAATACGTTAAATAAGGTGGTACATATAGTAACCACTGGGCTTTAAAGGGTTATAATAAAGTAATGCAGACATTTCTTCTTCTACGACTTGAGGTCTTCACAGCTCTGGTTATGAAGTGTTCTGTCTTCTAGGATATAACACCGTGTAGTCCGTTGAAAATCAACCAAAGTTTTCGAAGGAAGATATAGTCTCCATCTTCATGGTCGACGAATAAGCCGCCCAAGAAACCATCGTGAAAGCAGGTTGAAAGCTAAGCAATATGTTTGCCGAAATTTCGGATTATATTGGAAAGAGGAGGGAAATGGAAGACAGCAATTCAGTTCAACTTATGAGATCACTTACTTTCTGTCCTTGTCTCCCTCCACCGTTGCTAGGCCGTCTGTGTGTTCTCCATTTTTTTTTTTTTCGTTTTCTGTGCAGTCCTTGTCTTATGAAAGGAAAGCACGCGATTAGTTGCATCCGAAACTAGTCTCCTGAAGATACCTCCTGTAGTCAACTAGAAATCAGAATCAAGCAGTTTCTATTATTGAAATAAAATAGAATTCATCAGTTTTAGTGTTTTTAGTCATAACAGACCCGTCCTCTCGCCAGAGAGTGCTCCCGACAAAGATAAGACCGTAACTGTCAAACAGTAATAAATATCTGGTCATGAGCCCCACATGGGGCTCGACAAAAAGACTTATTGACTGATTGACCGTCAGTCGCAATGTGAATTTGACTTTACATAATTTTGTTACGTTTTTGCCTTATCTTATAAGAGAAAACTTGCCTCTAATCCTGTTACAATAAGTAAAAAGTAAAGCTATCCCTGTAAGAGGCCGTGAAGGCTCATAGGGTTGTGAGACGACGAGGCTCCCACATTATCTAGATAATCGGCTCAAAGATGGCTCTAAGGTTGTCAGTCTTACGCTCCGGCCGCGCTTTGCTCCCCAGGA